AAGTTAGCTCCACATATTTACTTTCAATGTAAGTTTATCTGGGATCTTAACTGGGAACATATATTATCTCAATATCCACATTTATTTTAAAAAATGCACTGCTTAACCTACATTTATTCTTATATTTAAGCAGGTGAGATCTGACATGTCTTATTAGTTAGCCACATTGAATTACATATGCTTCTCTATTACACCTTTTTGCTAGTTTGTGACCAGCTGTATTTGTACGGAAATTGCAACCTTAGTAAAATGCCCCAAACTGCATTCTGATAGATAATTTATTCTTAAATGAATGGAATGTTTTTCACAATTCACTTTGTAAATATACTTCAGCATACTAGCAACAAGCACATGCCATTTGTATTTTAACTGATAAAATTCACATTAGTGAACATGTTTTTATTTGAGAAAATAACTTGCACTAATATCAAAAGTAGACAATCAAATACCTTTGTGGTATTTCCCACATAATTTTAAATAACTTTTTTAATGGACTAAAATCCAGTTCTCTATTTTGTGGGAATTTATTCCAACTTGCTGCATTACAGGTTCTAAGGATGGCAGGAACAGAGAGAAAAAGCAATGTGCTAAAGATCAGAGAGCAGGGGGTGAAGAGATTCAGAACTGGAATTCAGATTTCCTGTGCCCCAGTCAAGGAGCTGCTCACAACTGGACAAATGTGCACTGTCAAACAATGTCACCATGTGGTGTCAGGAGTCAATACTACAGGATCCTGTACTTTAATATCTCCAGAAAAAAATTAACCAAACAATTAAAAAAAAATTAAAGCTAAAGTCTCCTTTGGTTCCAACCCAGCTATTCTTTGCTGAGTAGAGGAGCTCTTTTTGGGTGGGGGGCAAGGACCAGACCCCTCTGTGAAGGACAAGCCCACACGGCAGCCAGCAGTACATCCCTGCGGGATCCTTCCAAGCTGAGATGCCCAATGTCAACGCTCTTTGTTCACACCGTGGGCTCTTGAGGACAGGATTCAGGAAACAAGTTTCAGAAGCTTCTAGGTGACATGTCAGCTGCTCCCGACAGCCCTCCCATGCTTGTTAGCTCCACATGCCCAGCAGTGAGGCACTGCTTCAAACTTGGGAGCAGACACTGGAGCACAGGCTTTAACCAGCAGCCTTCAAACTGGTCACATAGACTGGTACTGGGGAGCTGTGACAGCAAGAGGAGGAGGAACAGCCATTGTGTGGGAAGTGATCACAGGGCATCTAAATCCTGCTCCAGGTCAGGAGAGGCTGTGAAAATCAGCCACAAGTGCAGAATCATGCTTCTAAAAACAGAGCTCTGTCAGATTTCTTTGTGGCTAGCCCAACTGCACGAGCTGCACACCTACCTGGAGGCGTATTTAAAACCACTTCCCTAGCTTGCAAGAGAAAGTGATGTCCAGATATTGTGGCAATTCAGGTTGGAGTGGCAGGGGTGATAAATCTGGGTATGGGACAAGTGCCAATGAAGTGTGGGCCAACTCTAGTGTAAGGGAAAAGGAAGAATAAGCTGAATTACAAACAGTTGATGGCATATGTTGTGCTTGGCTCACACAGCCAGGGGAAAGTGCCAATGCAGGAGCACTGCAAAGGCTGAGTTTATGAGACAGAGCAGGCTCTGGCCTGTGTAGGAGGGAGCAGTGTCTCCAGCCACTGGGGCTGGGGCTGTACCCACTACAGCAGTCCGAGACCAGGACACCACAGCTTCAGCCAGGAAGGGGAGTAGAGTGTTGTGCAATAATCTGCATTGTGTGGTTTAGTCCTGAAGATCTATGGGGCACTCTCAGAGGCAGCTTAATGGGTAATTTGGCCCACGGCCACTTTTGTTCTAGAAATACCATCTAAATGCAGACTTGACTGCTTGCACATGAAGATTGCACTGCTTGCACTTGCATTGCTCAGAGTCCCCCACATCTTAGTGCTTCATCTTTTCAACCAAAATACGATGTACAGTCAATGCCTGATGAAACTATGAAAAAGTCAGAAAATCAATGAAAAGGAAAATTTCCTAATCTTTTTGACCTAGATGTGTAATTTTTAATGTGGTCTCTCAGTTATTCCCGTTATTGAGTTAAATGGTTGTAGTGAACAAGTTCTTCTCTTCTCATGTGATATTTATTACAGTTTTTCTCTTATTTCAGTCATCTTGCAATTTTATTTGCAGATGTTAATTCTCCACCAGAAAGCCATGGCATGTGCATAGTAAAAAGATGTGTCCTCAGCACAGATTTCACGGGCTGGGAGGAGTTATCCCTGTGTTCAGCAGCTAACAATTGTCAGGAAAATCTACCACAGCTATCCATGGTAAAAAAAATGCTGGAGAAAATGTTATGTTTCTCTAGGAAAAAAAAAGCATTCCCAGGAACTTCCATGAGCTGTGATTCATGAGTGAGAGGAGGGTGACAGCAGAGGACTAGGCTAGCAGGGAGTAAAAGGTTCCAAATGATAGATTTTATATGGAATCAAGTATCCCCACAAATCTGGAGGAAAAACAGCAAGAGACAAATAAACCCAAACACATGAGAGTTGCCAAGAATAACAGGAAATAAATTTTCTTTTAATATGGATTATATAGACTCTAGCATTAAAAAAGTGTTCTCCTGGACAGGAGCACCCCTTCCTGTCCCTGCTGAAAGCAAGCAACAGAAAGGCTTCTAACCACTTCCCAACCTGTATGAAAGTTAAATTTCTATATGCTGTACAGTAGCTAGGTTACCCAGTTATGTATCTATAGTGATGAATATTCACCTCTAAATACAGAGAACAGACTTGACCCAGTCCAATTTCCAAGATCCATCTCCATCCTACCTTCCTCCACACAGGCAATTTTCACAGGTATCCCTGTGGCATGGAAGCCATTGGCTGCCAGTGGCTTGAATGTCTTTGAGATCAAGCTCTCAGTACCCTCCTTTCTACAGAAATGTGCACCCTCTCAGTACAAAGAAATCCCTACTTCATTCCTAGTCTCATGAGCCTGGAGTACTCGAGAGGAGCATCACCCTCTGAGTAGCAGTGCAGTGTTCCTATATGTAGGATAAAATTCTAGTCACTGCATGATTTGGAATTCTTTCTCCTGTACACTGGATAAATATAGAGAGATTTAGCCCATTGAAGGCTAATTTTGACCTCACATGGACACTGTCTGCACAGGGTGTCTTCCCCCACACAGAGGATGTGACCAGCTTCTTGCTGCATACAGCAGAAATGCAGGTCCTGGCAAGATGGTCCTACACTAATTGTTTTTGCTCTTTTTCTCAAACATCTGCCTCTGTGCAGCAAAGTGTCCCCAGTACTGTGTGACCCTGGCTCTGTGCAACAGGGCAGTGCTCCTGCAAGACTGAAGGGTCCAGCAGATGATGTGAGGGGACTGAATGCCAAATCTAGCAAACTGGTTTTCAGTTACTTGGGAACAACACAAAGATCCTAGAGACAGGGTCTTGCTGATGCTCTGGTGCCCCACAGAATCATGCCACTAAGAGTCACATGGTGACTATTGGTAACAATAGTGATTAATAAAATTCAGACTGCTCTTCCCTACTTACCCTACCTGGTCTCATCACAAAAACTGGCCATATACCTGGAAATGTTCTCCATATATCTAGAAAACAAAGTCCTTGAGCAGACCAGACATCCAATGCTGCCACAGTGAATTCTTCTGCCCAGGCTGGCCTGTATAAGCACTTATACCTGCAGATATGTTTACCTTCCCCATCAGCACCTGGCCCTGTGCAGGTCAGCACAGTCAGAGATTCTGCAGAAAAATCCCAGGTGCCAGATAAACAGCAATCCCAGATAATGATTCTGCTCCCACACCCAATTCCAATTTGCAACTCCTTCCTGCTTTGTGCAGGAGCTTCCAGGTCAGGAGGTAGGAACTCAACTGGAGATTGAAAGCAGGTACAGCAACTGGAGAGTGTGGAGGTAGCCAGACCAAGACAAGACACCAAGACAAGATAATTCATTGCAAGGTCTCAGTAATGTCAGGTCACACAGGTTCTTCATGGGCTTTCTTGGGCTTAGGAGTGGAGGGAGCTGTAATTACTGCTCCCTGAAACTTGCCTGGAATGGGCATCAAGAGATGGCTTCAGTGGGAAGGGAGGGACAAGAACAGGGGAGAGGAGAGGAGAGGAGAGGAGAGGAGAGGAGAGGAGAGGAGAGGAGAGGAGAGGAGAGGAGAGGAGAGGAGAGGAGAGGAGAGGAGAGGAGAGGAGAGGAGAGGAGAGGAGAGGAGAGGAGAGGAGATGCAGCACTCTGATCCAACATAATCTTTTTGAGAAAAATATAATGCCATACTAAATCCAGATTTTTTCCTTTTGGTAGGAGATGTGTGTAAGGGAGGCAATGGGCTTGAGGCAAAAACTTCCCAGAGGTAGTTATAAATGATCTGTGGCCACCCAGGGAAGGGTGCCTTGGGTTCAGGACAGCTTGTCTCCCAGTTCTGTCACTTCCCTGAGGCCAGCAGACACAAGGAGGAGAATGTGCTATCACACAACAAACTCAGTGGTTCGGGAGAATCAGAGAGGCTCAGGCTGACCAACCACATCTGAGCTCATGCTGATGCCAGGCAAGAAATCTAGGGCAGGAGTCCTAGGGCATGAAGGTGAGATGAGATGCAGCTTAAGGCATCTGTACCACTGGGAGGACTTCATCCTGTCCCCATTTCTGGCTCTCTTCAGGGGCAAAGCAAGAGAAGGTGCAGCACATTTATAAGGACCTCTGGGAAATGAGCAGCTCACAGCCTTCCAGGCAGAGTGTGAGAGAAAAGAGGGGAGAGTCCCCTGTCCTTAGTAATAGATTATAAAGATGACAACAGCTACCATGACAGATTGGCAGAGAGGGTACTCTGTGCCCTGCAGCACCTGAAGAAGAGGATGTAGAAGAAGGCATAGAAGCAAGGAAATAATGGGGGAACCACAAGCAAGAAGCACTTGTCTTGGACTGTATGTAGTGGATGATGCCTTCTCTTCTCTCTCTTCTTTTTCCTCTGCCACTGTTGGTAGCTCACAGAGCATCAGGCCTGCGCTGCTGCTCCAGGAGCTGTCTGCAGGGGAGAGGCAGGGGCTGCCCGGACCGGCGGAGGCGTCGAGGAGGAAGGCCAGCCAGCTGGCGACAGATCTCATCTGAAGACAAGCACACACACACAGGTTGACAGATAATCAAAGCTTCCTTCAAATTATTCTCCAGCAGAATAGTTAGAGGCACATCCTTCACTGCATCTACAGAGGCTGTTGAAATTGCTCAATCCCCATATGCATGAGGCAAGCAAAGCAAGTCCTTAGGCTTTTATGAATTTCCTTCTGGCTTTATGCATATACATTACATGTTAAAACCACTTGTATTTTGCTGCAACAAAGATTGCATAAAACATCTAGACTGGATCCTGCTTCTATTCATGAACAGAAATACTGAGATTTACTCTTTAACCTCAAAAGAGTACAACTTTGAGTAAGGGTGTGTCTGGGACTACTAGACCATGATTAAGATCGAGGAATAGAGAGCTATCATATTTTTCAGTACCACAATATCTACTTCCCAGTTTTTTTATCATGGCATGTGTATTATGTCCAAGACTGCATTGCATCAGAGCTCTTTCAAAGTCTAGGGAAGATACTGCATGTAGGTCAGGGTCTAAGCCAACTAGTTAGCTTTGAGACTCTATCAGATGGCTGCAGTAATCCTTCTAGCTAGCCTGTGATACCACTCACCTTGCATGACCTCGTTCTCCTTGCAGATAATGCGAGTGCACACCTCCTTGTTTATTACGTACATGCGACGCACACTGCGGCATCACCGGGATCAGCAAAGGAAGGCACAGGGACACAAAGAAACAAAAAAGGGGAACAGGGAATAATCATGTATATTCACTAGTGAGCAGGCAAATTCTATTTTTTTTTTTATTTCTTAGCTGAAAATAAGGCTGCTCAATAGCAAAGTAACCTTTGTAAAGACTTAATGAAATCTTAGAATCATAGGAAGACTTGAGTTGGAAGAGACATTGAAAATCACCTAGGTCCAAACTCACTTCCTTGGGCAGGAATGTCACCCACTGGATCAGGTTGCTCAAGGCCCCACATTGGACCTTGCCTTGAACACTCCCAAAGATGGGCATTGACAACTTCCCTGGGCAATCTGTGCCAGTGGTGCCTCACCACCCTCTGAGTAAAGAACTTCTTCCTGACAACAAATCTAAATCTCTCTTCTTTCAGTTTAAAACCATTGCCCCTTCTCTTATCACTCTTTGTCCATGTAAAATGTTGCTCTCCCTCTATTTAATAAGCTCCCTTTAGGTACGGCAGGCTGCAATGGGTTCTCCCTGGAGCCTTCTCTTCTCCAAGCTGAATAATCCCAGCTCTCTCAGCCTGTCTGTAGGAGAGGTGCTCCATACCTCTGATCATTTTCATGGCCCTATAAATATGGATTAAATATGGATTACAATATAGGGCACATTACAGCTCCTTAGTGCTGCACAGACTGTACCCATTGTGCTGTTTTAAATAATTAGCCTAAAAGGATGCTCTGGGGATAGATTCATCTCACCAATAGGTTCCCAGAGAAAACCTCTAGTCTTCAAATGAACCAGACCTACCACTTTTGGGCAGTTTCGAGTGCTTTTCTTAGGGACTGCTGGTTTCTTACCTTGTAACACAGAGGTAGCTGATACACTGCTTTACTGGCTTGTGAACAGAGTACAGGCGTGTGCAGGGGAACTTTTCCTCACGGCAGTCTGAGAACACACACACAAACACGGAGGTGCAACCCAGCATCATGGCCAGGTGCACTCATTCAGGCACAGATATAACCTCATCACCAGGGACAGCCCTCCAGGCTTCTAGGGAAGGACCCCAGCCTCTCTCGTCACTCTCATGTGAGACATGGGGCTGGTTTAAAGAAGAAGAAAATAGTGCAGACATTTCTGATCCCCTTGCTCCACAAGACAAAAGGAAGGGAAAATTGAGTGAAATGCAAACCAAGCCCACTGGACACCCAGAATACAGAGGGCACATGTTGTGAAGGGGACAGACACATATAAACAAAATGTAAATTTTAGTTGCATATTTAAGACATGGGTTTCTAAAAGATGTGCAATTATCACATTTCAGGACACAAATCTAGTTCCTAGTTTTCCAGACAATCAACCCTGTAACTAACTACAACGGATTTTCTACTACTATTCTTCTACTACTGCCCACTACAATGGATTTTCTTGCACATCATTCTAAAATGCCCGGTCTTGGCCACTGACACTGACATGATATTGACCCACTGTATCTGGTCTGCTGATCTGCCAGCTCCTCCCTTCCCAGGCACATCCAGGAGAAGGCTTCAGCTTCCACTACCATCATTCTCCAGTACTGCTAACTCAAGGAACAATTTAAAGCAATTTTCCAGGAGACAGAGCTATGTGCCCAGCCAGAACCTCTCTGGAGAGCTAATAGGGTGGGTAAAAGTGGGTCTGGGAGAAGATGTAGGCAGCAAACTTAAAACACACCTGATGAAGCCGTTGTCGCTTCACTGTCAGACTGAACTGGAAGACAGAGGGTAGCAAAGTTAACTAGTTACCATGATTCCTTCCTAGAAAGCAGCTTAATCAAAACAAATATCTGGAAAACTCTTTCAAGAGCCTTCCATTGTAACTTCTAATGTGGAAAAAGATTTCATTGTTACTGACATGAAACCATAAAGTACAAATCCAATGTGAGTCTAGTGCCAGATATGCAATCAACAATGCTAAATATTTACTTAATCTTTCCCATAAAGCGTTACCACTGCTGTTGAAAATTACAGTGTATGGACATTCTGACTTAAAAGGCCAGGCAAACTTTTTTAGCTGCTGTAATTACCCTTTATGGAGTAAAGAGGTGAAGGACTTTGTGACAGCCCTTCATAAGGAACAGTGACACACTGTTTAAGAAACAGCATCCCAATACCACTGGCTCTTTACTGTCCATGACAAGGGGTCAAAAAGAGGCAGGTTTGTTACTCCCTCTGATAAAGTAACCCCTCTGTACCACAGCAAACCAGTACATTTTATAATTTACCCAGTAACAAACTGGAAAGGAATTCAGAGAACTGACTGCCAGGGGCAAGTTCTTATGAGCAATTACAGAGGACTTCTGCTTCTGCTCAGATGCCATAGTATTAGCCAGAAGCATAGACAAAACATGTGTGTTAAAGAGAATGAATCTTTTGAGTGTGGGGCTTAGGGGCAGTCAGAGAAGGCAGGATTCCAGGTGTGTAAGGGACTGTGTGAGGAGAGGGAGGAGGGTCCACAACATGTGGCTGCAAACTGAGAATAAACTCACCAGGAGGAAGAGGCACAGGTGGTGTGGCAGCTGCACCTGGAAAAAGAGATGCACTGGAAGATCTTTATTTGAGCTTACAGTCTCCTCCTGCCAGTGTTCTGCTGGCTTACCAGTCCTGACTAGTGAGGTAAGGACTAGTCAGGACTGGTCCTTACATCTGGTTTATAGACAATGCTGACCGTGATGTTGTTATTATCCGATTTGTCAGAGTACCTGTAGGCTTTCCCTGCCAATATGCTGGGTGTGCTAGAGCTGATAGGATGCTGCAGAGCAAAGATGGGTCCCAATGGCACATCCTTTGTGAAGGGTTTTGCTTGATCCCTCAATGGTAAGCATTTTGAAGCCCCAGTTTGCTGTAAAGGCTTCACTTTTACTCTTTTAACCTTTAGATGTAGGTTAGTCACCACCAGTTTGGTCTGGACACTAAGTCCTATCTACCTTCCTACAGACTGTCAGGCCTCATATGCTGAACACAGCTGTTTTCACCTCCCATCCCAACCACAAAGATCATACATCTTGTAGATACAATATTGTGCTTCCACTTTCCTCTTCCAGTGTTGTCTTGAAGGATGGACAAAAGACTCTTCAACTAATTAAAGTTGAAAAGAAGGATATTTATTACATATGGAATAATTTCTAAAGGCATGTGCAAGGAGGAGTTGCAGACTCCTGTTCTCTATTTACCTAAGAAAGGTTTTATATATTCACGTGATTTCTATGGAAGCCTAATACATAATCATTACCTGCCCATTTCATATTATAATTAGCTGAATATCTATTATGGCCAGGCAATTGTATCCTCTTAATTTGGTCAGTGGGATTTTTAAATAAGGGAGTGGGTGTATAGGAGGAAGAAAGCCACCTTCCTCATGGTGAACTCTTCACCTATGTCCAGTTGGCAGGACTTTTTCACCTGGTGGTCATGGTCCAAGCCTCTCTTGTTCGATTATTCTTGGAGGCCAGTTATTTTTATGGTTTCTGCCCTTTTACAGTACTCTGTCTATCTCTGTCACTCCTAGCTTTACTTCTGGATATCTTTGTCACACTTTAACTAGGGTACATGATTCTTGCTAGCCACATTTCTAACTTAACTCTTTACCTTATTTAAGATCTTAACCAAAATATGCAGTCTTTTACTATCTTAATTATATTCCTAGCTGGCCCTTCGACTCATCTGCAGTTTTCAATTATCCTAATTACATTTCCAGCTGGCCTCTTGACTCAGTCTCATGGCAGTCTGACCCACAACAAGTACTGCAGCCAGCTGATGAGCAGTCAGGGCAGAGGACAAACTGTGGAGCTGATGCTCTAGAGAACAAGACACCACTCTCAGATGAGTTCCCATACACTCAGAGCACACTCCCCAGAAACAGCCATGCATAGCTGCCTCTCTCTGACCCATAGCATTGACCACATGTGTTCTCCCTCTCCCTGCCCTGCCGGGTCTTCACCCACCTCAGAGGAATGTGTTTGAAACACTGCTCCAGCAGAGAGAGAAACCATCTCCAAGGCCAGTGGTGACAGATTTGAACTCAGAGCGGGGTTGGAAAAAGTGGGGAGGCTCCTTCTTGAGCCTCTCTTTTCCTCCATTGCCCATTGTTGGAATTGCCTACACTCCCATCAGCTCTGTGTCCATCTCCTGGGGCCATCTCCACTCTCTAAGGACACACACTGTGTGCTCTAAATGCTTATCTTCCAAGCCCTCCATCTACCCTTCTCTTCACAGACATTTTGCTGCCCCCCTGTGACACAGCTGCAGGCATGGTGGGGCAGACAGTACCGAAAGAACAGAATTTCCACTTCCCCACTCCAACAATGCTCAGGGTTTGCTCTACTACTTTCAGGGGATTTTTGGCACCTCTGTCTCCTGAGAACTGAAGGACATCTGCTACCAGTCAGCAGACACACACACACAGCCTGTGTCCCCGTTTGAACCTGTCCAATTTCTCACCCTCATCATTTAGTCTGTTTGTTCCTGCCACCTTCTCTGGAAGCCAAGGATGTGTGAGCTTTAAATTTCATGGCTTCCTGCAGTGGAAACCTCTTCAGGGAGCCCTGGTACATAAAGTGAGATTGGCATTTCCTTGGAGAACAGACCATTAAGTTACCCTAAATTCATCTCCCTGCGTGGAGCACAAAAAGGACTCCCAGACAGCCATAAGTGCTGGAAGAATGCTGCCATGCATCAGAAGTGGGATGAGGAGTTTCTGGACATAATGGGTAATTTCTGTGGCTGTCTAGGCAGCAGTGGTGAAAAGGGAAAAAGAAGCATGAAGATGCCAAGAGATTGGAGCTTACCAGAGCTGTCAGGGGTAACTCCACCTGGAAAAGAGAATGTCCTTGAAAAAGCTTTTCTTTACTTTATGGTCCCTTACACAGCCAGCCAGAGCCAGCTTGAATTACCTCTCCTACCAGGCTCATGAGACAGTGGGATCCAACCCAGCAAATACATAATCAAACACAGTACCCCCAACCTGTCTGTATCTACTCCCCTTTCTTGTGGCCTGGGACTGGATTTCTTAGTGCACATGTTGTATCAACCCTGAGTGTGTTTTGGAGGCATATCTTGACTTCTCAGATATGGCTGCTGTTGGCTTCTGAAATGAAGGTGCTGAGGGGTCTTGCAGCACTAGGGACAGACAGCTGAGGGCACCCATGGCAGAGAAGGAGAGAGGCAACCCCAAAACCTAGCCTTGACTGCAGAAATTCATCAGTGGATGAGTTTCTTTGAAAAGCAATTGATGGCAAAGCTGAGGTAGTGGTAGAGAGGTAAAGCATGAAGGAAAGGATGCTTGGAGGATATGTTTTGACCTGGCTTCTGAATAGTTTTCTGGGAAACTGCAGATATTACATATTATAGGATCATAGCTGGGAGATGGCTGCAGGCTTAGCCAGGGGCTTCAGGTTTGAAGAAAAGACAAGCCCTTGTGGTCCTTTTGGGTGCTGAAGCATGATGTAAATGTACATTCATTTTATCTTACCATGTGGCAAAAATGGATTAAGGTCCAGAGGGATAAATCAATTCACCCCCAACAACACAGCCAGTAAGAAGATCAGTCAATATCCTTTCCCAACGGCCTCACTACTAAAGCACCATGCCATTTGTGCACCATTCTCCTTAGGATTTTTCTGAGCAGCAGTAGAGTTCCCCAAGCATCTCGTGGTTGAAGATGTACCAGCTTTTGTGGACCTCCTACAACCCTTGACTGTGAACATAACTTTGTACCCTTCAGCTAAGTGTTCAGGACCCCTGCACTAGAGAATTATTTGTAAAGAGCATGTAACACTTAGCAGGTTGTCTTGGAGAGCTTGTTTAATCTTCACTGAAAGGTAAGCTCACAATGTCAGAGGCAAAGAAACAAAGAATAGTATTTTCTAATAAACAGGCTGTAACTCCACAGGACAACTGGGTCACATGAGCAATCTTCAGCACATTAACATGCCTGTAATACTTACCAGTAGCAGTTTCTGGTTCTTGCCCATTGACCATCCATGGAAACCAGTCTGCAAGAGAAGAAGAGAGGGGTGTGACAAAAGACAGATTTTTATAGTCTGCAGGCTTTGTGAAATTTTCATGTTTATCTATCCAGGAGACACCACTGCCCTCTGCTGAAGGGAGCAATGCTCTCTACTCAGCCTCCACTGCCAGCTGCATTTGCTGTTTAAAGGCTTGTGAATACAGCAGGTCCTGATCCTATCCCTGCTGCTTCCACCACGGGCAGTGGCTAGGCACAGGGACAAGTTAGTAAATACTTCTGGATCTGCTACCAGACCTTGCCCTTCTGAAACCTCTTTTGATGCATTTTGAAAAAAAAGATCGATGTGGCCTCTCTGCTCTGGAGGCTGAGCAAAATCCCTATCTCTATTTTATAAAAGAGGAAACTGAGTCATGGAAATTATTCACTTGGGGGGCACAGATTGAGTCATTGGTACAGTAAAAAGCAGACTTCAGGTTTTGTAGCTCCTTAGGCAAATCATCCAGCCTGTGTATGGAGCACAGAGCAGATAATCTTTCCTCTCTCAGCCTCTGGGTGAACTGGAGAAGAGGAATGATGGAAGCTTGGCTGTGCATACTACATGGAAGGAACTGAAGCTGGGCTAGACTGTTTGTTTGTTTAAATATAAAGGGTGACAGAGCAGCTTCCTTAGAGCAGCCAGGAATAGGAAAATATTTCCTGCTAGCCACAGACGAGGGAAATGTCTGCATAACTGGGGTGGGATGAAGGAAGGAGTTGGCAGGAAAAAGCCAGTGATCTGGGGCACTGCAGGAATGTGTGCATGACCAGCCCAAAAATCAGTACATCCCACTACGTCCTGCAACCTCAGCCTGCAGCTTTCTGCTCTTGAGGGGAGCACTGTGTGGGTAAAACTATCAGATTTTGAGTTTTTGTCATAGTTCTTCCACATTCCAAGGGCAGTTACTTGCAGGCCACAGAGGGTCTCTTGGGACCCCTACATAATCCTGCTCTACAGCATTACAGGAGTTGCTGGACACTGATATTCTGTTCCCCACCCAGCTGCCAGCTGTTGGTGATTAACCCAGGGAGGGCCAGACATGCATAATAACTTAAGTACACAATCTAATACAGCCCAAAACTTCCCCTGTTCTGGCTAATCTCTTAATTGTAACAAGTGGGGAAGAAAATGGTGTTGAGCACATTCTCCTTTGTTACTGATGCAAAAGGAAGGATGAAAATCCTGAAACCATTGCAGAAGCCAGCAGAGCTGGATTTGAAGAGATGTGTAGAAAAGACAGGGTGGCTCCTCCCCCTTTTCTAACTTTGAAAAGTCAGCTATTACGAATCTTGTTTTCCCCTAGGGGTTGAATAGAAAGCCAGTCCAATTCTAAAACAAAAGGACATAAGTGAAGTGAAATCTCTGCATACCAGACAAGGACACAAAAAGGTTGATTTTCTTATCCCACCTTCAATCACTTCAATTTATAATTACTACGGTACCAAATAAACAAGCCTTATAAACAACTGGACTTTCTTATCCAAGCTGCAGTAAATTCATCCTTGAGATCTAGAACTACAACCTTAACCCACCAAATCTGTAGCTTACCCAAAATCAAAAGAAACAATGAGAGACCAGTTGGTGATTCCTGTTATTTTCCAAGTTAAAACAAACGAACTCAAAAAGAAGTGCTAAAACAAAATACTCAAAAGTAAGAAATATTCCTTTCAGGCTTCCTTCATGTACAATAAAAACCATGGCCTTTTTTTTTCCTGTTTCAAATCATAGCCCACCTATAAGCTCATCTCTTGGATGCCTCATCTCCCTGCTTCACAGTCATAAACATGACATTCTTTACGGAGCACCTTTAAAGGAAAAAGTGCTATTTGGAGCAGAATCAGGTTTCAGCATGAGGGGAGGATCAAAGAGGGTATTAGAATAACCTAGTTTGAAAATGATACATACAGTCTTTCCTGGACAAAGCTTTGCCCATTCACTGAAATTAATCTTTCACTATCTGTCCTGAGTCTTCTGACTATAATGTCTGATGCTACCCTCTTGTTTTATTCCTTTTTGTTGTTGTTGTTGTGCTATTAAAAAAAAAACAAAAAAAACTGATCTGAATTTTTGCTAAAGTATCTCCAAGCAAACAAAGTAATGGAGACACAAAAGAGAATAACAACAACCACCACCACCAAAAGCAGAAAATGGTCTGAACTACAGAGGTGAGGCTTCTCAAAACAGCTGTAAAAATACTACAAAACCTCCCAGCAGTTGAGTGACTTGGAATGAGGTCAATCCAGCAGGAACTGCTAGTGACAGCAAACATGTCACAACTGTGACAGAACAAATTTTGCAGAGCACTAGGAAATGCCCTGCAGATCATGCATACACAGGTGGTAAAGCAGTAAGCACAAAGCACACCTAACTCTCTTTCTCAAATGTTTTGCTTACTATAACATACCTAGAGTAGAAGCTGTGGACCTTTGTCTCTTGTGACTCCCAGTACTTTCTGGAGAGTGTCACAGATGGGAAACTGTTTCCAGTTTCTAATTTTCTCCTTGCAATTTTACATCCATCTTGCCTTTCCTGTTCAGTCCTTCTCCCTTCTCCACCCCTCTATATATCTTTGCCTTTGTTCTTAGATCATTGAACATTATTCTGTGTAGGAAACTCCGTGGGGTCCAGATGGGGAAGAAATCCTTCCCCTGGGCATAAGGACTCACCAGCTGGGGACAAGAAGAGTGTTAAGACACAAAACAGTATACAGGTTCCAGAGGTCTTCATGCCTGTGGAGTGGAGGAGAGAACAGAGGAGAGCTAAGAGAGGAACCGGTATACACTTCCCTATGCCTCAGAAACTTTGCTGCTTGTACCCATTTTCTTCTCAAGACCATTTGGTCTTCCCAGCCTCCCTCCCGTCTCCCTCCTCATGTGGCCAGTATCCCAGTTATTTCTGAAACATTCTGGACTGAACTTATAACACCACCTGCTTTGCTCCTCTTTTCCACCTCCTTTCTCCAGTCCCCATCTCTTTTCACATTTGGATGGCTAAGCCCTGCTCCACACACACCCTCAGCATGCAACGGAAAGTTTCCCCCACGTTCTCTCCCTCCATTCTCTTCTGCTTTTCAGTTATTTCGAGGAGCACTGAAAGAAAAGACAGGGTCCCCATCACTTACTGCAGCCCTCAGCTTCCACTCCCTTCAGCAGCAGACGCTCTGTTTTTCCCCTTCGGCGCCCCCCCACTTTGGCTATTGGGTAAATCACATGCAGCCACACCCAGAACACGTTCTCCTTTTAGTTGTCTTCAAAATACAATTTCTGGGAAAAGAGAAAAAAAAGAAAAAACCCCAAGAAGCCAGCGAGATGGAGGGATATGGTATCATCATGCATGTGGAATGAGGGGGGGAGCGAGGAGCAGCAGCCCACACCCTCATTCCAGAGTTTATTGTCCTCCGAAGGGGCTCCTCCCATTCCCCCAGGATGGCCCAGCACCAGGGATGGATTCCTGGGTCTGCGTTGCACACTGGTGTCCCGTTTCGTCCTGCCCTTCTACGCAGCCTGGCTTCTCCTCAGGCCGCTACCCCTAGCCACGTTTCCCGTCTCAGCTGCCGCCAGTCCCCACCCCAGTGCTCCGGTCCCCTTCCCCGTGTCCCTGGCTGCCTGTGGCACAGGGACATGCGGAGCCCGCATCCCGTTCTCCGGCAGGACGCGCCCGGGTGCTGCCCGCGCCTCCCCGCGCCGCGGCACCGAGCGGGGCCGGTGGCGGGGCCGGGGCCGGGGCAGGCGGGCTCGGGCTGGCAGGGGGGCAGCGGCGGGCAGCGACAGCGGTGACATCACCCCGCTGCCTCGCTGGCGCTTCCCGGAGGGATGGAGGGACTGGGCTTCCCACGGGACCGGGCTCGGGGCGGGCAGGGAGCACAAGGAACGGGAGCAGGTATCGGCCACGGGGCCCGTCCTGCAGCGCCGCTGCCGTTCTGGCCTGAGAAAGGCAGGCAAAAAAAAAAAAAATTAGGAAAATGAGAGAGACACAAACGGAGAAAGAAGACGATGAATGAGACCTGACCTTCACTGCCGTCCTCCTGACTCCCCTGTGCCTCCAAGCATTGTGTGTTTTATGTGTGTTTTATGATGCAAGCCCCACAAATCCCACTGGAATAGCCAGTCTCCCCTAACTCTTCTTCCAACAGCCCCTGGATCTGACCTCCTTCTGTTTCTTCCACTGCCTTCTTTTCCCTTTACTGCTTCTGTAACAACTCTGCTGGGTTTGAGGAGGCACTGAGTGAGCTTCAAGGCACAATCTCAGTCCTGGAGCCAAGGAGAAGACCAGGAAACGCCCCCAATTCCCTACCTCATACAGCAATGAAAGACAGAAACCTTGTAAGGGAAAGCTGTGTCTCCTAAGGCTCATCCTGGTAGCTTGGTAACCCCCTTTTTTTCAACTAATTGCAAGCTGAAAATAAAATCCTACAATGCCTTATACACAGTTACTGAGGAAATGCTCTCTGTGTCCTCCTTGCCATGCCAGACCCATGTTGCCCACACCTGACATAACTGAAGCCACCACTTCTTACCTGAGAGTGGCTGAACACTGTTTTTGGCATTGCTTAAGAAGAAAGCAACTGTTCCTTCTTATTTGTGGCCCTCCCAAGACTCCTGGAGGATGCACGAGTGGTGGACCATACCAGAAGAGGTGCAGAGGGGCTGAGGAAAGCTAAGAATTTCCCTGCTCACCAGGGCAACCCTCTGAACCCAAACACCATTCCTCTCTTTCGTTGGAGCAAGACACCACCATTCCAACTTTCAGGGACCAGCTAAAACTGAGTCCATTGGAAATGCTCAAGAGGTCATTAAAGAAACAGAAGGATATGATGGAAGTTAGACCCACACACCAGTTTGAGGAATCCTCTCAGATCCTTGGCTTTTTCTGGAAGTCCACATAGCACTATGTTTGGACAATTTTCCACACACCTTGGTTTGACTTTTGTTTTTCTCTGTGCCTCTGTGCTGTCATTTGAGCTGTTACTGCTTAAGAGGCTAACTAAAACATCCTGAAGGCCTGGTGAGTTTTCAACACATTTATTTGGGAATTTTCATTGATGCCAAATGTTTTCATCTACCAATGTGTTGATGTGCCACCATCTCCCACAGAGCACAGGATCCACGGCCAGTACTGGATCAGGTTTCTGCTGATTGCTTTTGAGCTTTAAATTTTTCTCTCAGACTGGAAGACATTCTCCCTCAGCTGCTTGGTGGGGGTAGATCCCTTGTGCTAGCAGAACCCCTCAATTTGGAGAGCTTGGTGCGGATGGGGGCGATCCTGCTGGTGATGGAATTGCTGGCTGGGAGCTGCTCAGTATTTTACAAACCAGACGAGCCGCAGAGAAATAGCTGGGAGTGTCCTGCTGCTCTTGCTCGCGGTGGACACCGGAGGGAGCCGCAGCACACCGGCAGGCGAACGCCCCTTTCTTCTCTTGCAGTCCAAGCCCATTCTCTAAGAGATGTGGGGCTGCATCTGCAGGCCTTCATCCAGTATGAAGCATCTCCTCTTAGCTCTCCTCTTTTTCAGCCTACTGGATTAGAAACTGTTCAACTTGGTTTTTTGTGATAGAAAATAATCTTGATTTCCTCCCCTCCATTCCTTGACTCATGACATTGACAAAGATTGCTGGACGCCCTTCGTGGCTGGGAGGAACGAATACTTCGCATACTTCTGCACGTTCCTTTCTCACTAATGTTGCTGTTTTCTGCTTTGCATGCTGCTGTCCTCCATCACAGGGTATCTTGGGGGACATCTACGGCTGATGACTCAAGGTAAAGCACTCTTTCTTCTAAAAATTTAAAAGGTATCAGTGCCACAGTATGGTGGGAAGAACTGTTCAAAAAAGAACTCTTTGCCACAGTAAATGGCGTGGGTGACTCATAGAGGAAACACTTCCACACATATATTCCCTCAAGTGCTGACCACAGTGCCTGTAGTTGTTTACCTAAGATCAGATGCAGCAGCAGTGATTCAGCAAAAACTTATCTTTCTTTCCAGTTGGTACTGATCCTATTATGTTTATCTGGGATGCTGTAGTAATGGTAGCATATTTTGGATAAGATACAAAACCAGCCTTCCTGGAAATTAAAATCTCCTGGTGCATTTCACCCTGTAGATGACTGCATCTGAACAGACAGTCTAAGTGATCCTGGGGCATGCTATTTGCAAAGGTCTTGGAGACTTTTACCTCTCCTCTTGGTTTCCCTGGCCTTCCCATATCCTCATGGTAACAGGGCATTAAGTTACATCTGAGTGATAAGAAATTAATGAACTGCTGTGAGATCTGTGAATGCATCATGTCAATAATGCAGCTCTAGTAGTCATGTGAATTGGGGCTGAAAGGAATTTTCTTGGGACCCCACTGCTGATGGGCTCCTTTAAGACCTGGGGTCTGACAGCATCCTGCAGTTGTTCCACTGGTGTTGCTGAGGTCATCAGTGGGAAGGGACATGAGTTAAAGGCCAGATCCATCTATCCTCAATTTTGGGAGCTTCACATCTTCATCACATTGTAGAAGAGTGAATACTGACAAGTACAGGAGCCTAGACACACAATTTGTCTCTATTTTACTCATAGTCATGTTTTCTGTTGTCCCATCTAGGAAAATAAGGAATTCTTCACCCCTTTATTTCCAAATCAACAAGGCAGTGCTTAGAGGGCATGTAATCTTGCAGTCACAAAATACACTAAGGTAGTCCATGAAATTCTAATAAATACTGGCTCAGCTCCTCCAAATCCGTTCGGCATTGTGAAGAACTGAGCACAAGAAGAGGAAATCAGTGAGTTCTTTGCTCCTTGGTTGGTGATTTGGCCCTGTGCTTCAGGCTTCTCATGGCCAATGTGGTTATAGCAAGTTGTCAGGGCCTTCTTTCTTCACTGGTGGTGCTTTGGGGTTTCCTTCTCTGCTCTTTCTGTAGTTCTTACTATCACAAACATCCTTCCTTTCTGATCCTTTGTACTGTCTCAGGGTCGATTCTTCCTGGATGTTTCACCTGTTCCTCCACCCTCTCCTTTCTCCAAGGAGCTGAGCTCAAATACGGCTCTTCTCCGGGAACTTTTTCCGAAACTGTTCTCTCAGGGGATGCATAACACTTTAAGCTTGACAAACATATAAATCCCTCCTGCAGGCTCAGTTATGTGTGTCCATACAGACTCTGGAGCACATAGAAACACCATATTTAATTCAGCTGGTGTGATTTTATACACAGACGAGTCTGCAGACACAAGTAGAACACCAGCAAGGACATGATGGATTCTCCTTTCCCTTCTCCCATCTCTTCTGGACATCACAAACCCTGGAGCAAAGCCAGCAGGATTAATCCTCCTGTTGCAGCACAGCAATCATGCCCTGGAGCAGTAACCAGAGCTGGCTGAAGAAGTCATAGCTGGGAAGTAGAGTTGTGTCTTACACTGACACAGACAGGTTCACAGAGCTGCTCTGGCACAGATCAACTCACAGCTGAGCTTTCCAAACAATACAGTATCTGTCTTAAAGTCCAGCCTCTTGGACCATTTTATTGTCATTTAGTAGTCCTGCATGGTGGAAGAGATTTTAGTGGTTTTGTCTACCCTAACAGTCCAAAGCCAGCAAAACTATATTAATTATATTTAAAAATAGCATAACCTCTAAGCTTTTAAACATCATTGGTGAAGGGGGCAAAGCTGTCAACTTTAAAAGCCATTTGCTTTAAATTCTGTAATGTTGATGAAAGATCTGTTGTCAAAGCCTTTTTTAAAATTGGCCACATCCAAAATATTCAAACTGAATATGTTGAAGTTCTCTGTGTCAGCATTGACAGCACTCACCCTGCTTCTGAAAGGATCTAAGAAAGAAGAACAAGTTGTACTGAGTAGAAGAAATGCAAATGATGTTATATGTTAGCAGACAGATTGATGAGGGTTTACATTGTGGGGAAATTAGGAAGTACCACTTTCAGGTTTGCATCCCTCCATTTCCTATACCTTCACAGGGGCTGTAAAGTCTGACTTAAATATTCATTTGTGTTCTATTCTACGGTTGACATTACAGGAATCTGAACAAAGATTTTGGGCATTACTGAAACCGCATTGATATAAATCACTGTGTTTCCTGTAGGTAATGCTGACTTCAACCAGGTCACCTGAATTTTCCTGTGACCTTCCCCAGGTGTAGTCACTATTCTATTCAATGGCAGACTGATGTCAAGGCAAGCAATGTTAATAAAAATCTGTCCTGATGTGAAATGTGTACATGTAAAAGGCCTGCACTGCTTTAGCTCACCTCAGCTTTAAAGAGATGAAAACAGCAACAAATATAGACCATTCTATGTATCAACATCAAGAGCACCTTCACAACATGTCTGTAAA